AATAAAAAACATAACTGAACACTAAGATGAAAAACAATTTGCTATGACTGCCCGGTGGCCAGAATACCTCAGAGCCTGCGGCCTGCATTGTCTGCAACACTCGGGCCCAGTGGGCCTCGAACTTCTAACCAGCTTTATACGGTCTGCAACACAGTTTTCCATGTCCTTGCTGTAGAGAGCCTGCACAGCCTTTTTGTAGTCCACCATTTTTCTCTAGCCATGGGCATCCACTGCTAAATGGAAAAAGCAATACTGAAGTAATTGCAGGCTCTGTGCTATCCAAGTGATATGGACTCAAAGAGCCTGGGTAACTCACTTGTTAAGTACTAGCTGCTAACCAATAGAACAGTAGTTTGAACCTACAGCAGCTCTATAGGAGCTCCTTCCATCTTCTTTTGATGCTTTCTGCATCATTCAGTATTTTTTGCAGAGAATCCTTCAATATTGTAAGTCAAGGCTTGAATTTTTATTTTAGTTCTTTCATCATAATGAGAAATGCTGAGTGTGTTCTTCTCTTCTGGTTTTCTAAATTCAGGTCTTTGTACATTTCATTATAATACATGACTTTGTCTTCTCAAGCTGCCCTTTGAAATCTTCTGTTCAACTCTTTTACTTCCACTTTTCTTACAGTGGCCTTAGCATCTCTATGCAGGACAGCAAATTTCACAGTCTCTTCTGACATCTATTTTGGTCTTTTCTTTCTTTCCTTTTTTTTTTTAAATGACCATTTTTTATTTCTTCCAATATGATATTTTTGATGTTATCCCACAGTTCTGGTATCTAGTTATTGGTGTCTAATGCATCAAATATGTTCTTCAGATGATCTCTAAATTCAGATAGAATATGTTCAAGGTCGTATATTGGCTCTTGTGACCTTGTTTTAATTATCTTCAGCTTCAGTCTGAAATTGCATGTGAGCAATTGATGGTAAGTTGCATAGTCTACCCCTGGCCTTGTTTTGGCTCATGGCTTTTTCACCTTCTCGTCCCACTGATGTAATCAGCTTGATTTGTGTATATTCCATCTGGTGAGGTCCATGTGTAAAATTGCCTTTTATGTTATTTTAAAAAGGTATTTACAATGAGTAAGTCATTGGCCTTGCAAAATTCTATCATGTGATCTTCAGCATCATTTTGCTCACCAAGGCCATATTTTCCAGTTACTGACCCTTCCTCTTTGTTTCCAACTTTCATATTCCAATCACCAGTAGTTATCAATACATCTTGATTGCATGTTTGATCAGTTTCAGACTGAAGAAGTTGGTGTTTTGTTGTTGTTGTTAAGTGCTGTTGAGTCGGTT